CGTTAGGAAACAAAACTTCAAGACCACGGCCACACAGCCCGGAAGACCCACCCCAGCCATCTTTTCCTTACTGTTAATAGAAAACAAAGGTTTAAGTCCACTAACTAGTAGCCATTCAGCTAAGTCCTGAGCTTTCTGAGGTGTGTTTCTAGATTATAATCCCCAAGACACAACCTGGCATGAAAAATGTCTGTTTAAAATAATATATACTTTATTAGAAGTCAAAAAGGACAGGGAAAACATGAATGGGTGTTGGGCTTAGAAGAAAAGGATTGAATCCAAAGAGTAAGATTAATCAAAAGAACACCAGAAAGTGTCATCTAAAACAGAGCTGAACCTCAGGAAAAAAATAGCTGTGGAAGGAATCAGGCAAGTTTTTGAGGACATCTAAAATACGTTTAAATTTTAAAACTGGTTTCTCATCATTTAGAAGTCTGTGTGTGATTGACTGTTTCCTGAGTCCTGGAAAATTTACATTTTACAATCCTGGAATAGGTTCAAGTTCCTACTTTCTTTCTTCATCCCAGAACCAAGCTGCTCTTTCCTTGGGAAAATTCAAAGAAGAAAAGCCTCTAGCAAATTCTCCCCCTATTATTTGACTTCAAAAAAAATGGGGAGCTCTGTCTCTCACAGATTTAGGCAAATGGCTCTTCTAGGCTCCCATGTCAGTGGCAGAACGGGATTAGGTTACAAGTCAATGATGGTCATTGTGCTTTAACAGGAACCTCTCAGTGTAAGGTTGTCTTGTGATAGTGCATATGTCTCCTCATACATCTTTTGTAGCTGCTTGTTTTCATGCGAAATTAATTGCAGAAATCTAGACTTCATTGCTAGAAGAAGGCAATGGCAAACCATTTCTATATTGCTGCTTAAAAAGCTACACTGATGTGTCCATGAAGTCACCAGGAGTCAAGCTTAACTCTGGGACTTTACATTTTTTTTTTTAGCCTTCACAGAGTACAACAGACCTAAGCCCATGTACATATCCCTGCATTAATTGCTGTTTTTAATAAATCCATAAAATAATCCAAGAACATGTACACATTCAGTGATCATGTTGATGAAAATTAAATCAAGTGTCTCACCCAAATTTCTCACGATAACCTAATGCCTAAACTAGAAATATTAACAAAAGGTTTTCTCATATTTAAATAATATATCTAAATTTGTAAAAATGTAATAAATTCAACGAATATCATTTGAACATCTCCCATCAGCAAACCTTATCCATATTTTCCTTGTCTTTGTTACAGTTTTGTTTATCCGTAATGTAAACTTGAGAAGTTACTCCCAATTTGCCTCAAATACAAAAGTGAATTCAAAGTCCAGGCCTAAGTTAGAGCAAACTATATGCGTGTTCTGTGTTGTGTAGCAGAGACTACAGCGAGATACTGACTCAGTTTCACCATGATGATTATCAAGATTCCACCAATCAACAGCAGACTTGGCCAGGCAAAAGCAATGAGAAGGCCTTCTGGGGGATATAATCTCTTTAAAAGGACGCTCTCTTCTTTTCTTGATGGGTCATAATGACAAAGAAATGTCTGATGCTTTCTGAAATTGTCTCTTATCTTTTCTACTTGCTGCTGAACTTCTCTATAATTCTCCATATCAGGAGGAATATAGGAGCACTGCAGAAACAAAGAAACAAAACTCAGAATACTGCTTTTTGCAATGATTTTGCTGAGGATATACAGTCATTTTGGGCTATTTTTAATCAATGCTGTGTACTAGTATTGTTTTTCTGCATTGCGGTAGTTGTGGACTAGATTATGAATATGTACACAATTGCTACTTTTGTAGGGCAATCCATGAGCTTTCCAAAATTACCCTTCATTTACTTGAAGTTAACCAAAGTTTTGCTGGGGGGTGGGGTGGGAAGAGCATAACTCAACTTATTCTTACAAGCAATTAAGGCATCAAAAGCTTTTTCCTCTGCTGTGATTGGAACTAAAGGAACTACTACTTCTACAGGTACAGTATAGGATTGTGGGGAAAATGTTGCTAGAAAGAAACTGTGATCATGGATTTTTTTTTTTTTTGCTCTTAATCAGAACTATGGAAATACTATTTTTTATGTGAGTGTAGGTAGAAAGGGGAATTAGGAATGGACTAATATGTTTGCCAGTAAGTAGGATTTCTTTCCAACTCGAATTCTGCTCTATTTTAGTTTTTTTCCCCCTCTTCACACATGCCCATGTAAGTTAAAAAAACAAAAATAGACTAATGAAATTTTACTGAAGAAGCGGGGAAATATAGCAGGATTTATTTTCTTTTTTTTTTTTTAAGGTACTTCCAGTTTGTTCATTTTGGGAGAAAATTTGAGGATTATACTTACCATTTCTGTTTTGGAATTAAGTATTTGAACTTCCTGTGAGCTCACCTTAGAGCCATGAAGTCTCTGATAGCCAAACATTCATATGGGTTGTAAACTGAGCTTTCACTGAAACAGTGAGCACTGTGGCTATCCTTGCAATTTTGATAGTTAGATTTCATGTATAGTTCGCTTCTTTATAACTTCCCACAGATGTTTGATCTGTAGTCTTAGGGCGTAAATCTTACTGAATAAATTGGGACGTAGATAGTTATTTATAAAAGTTGTAATTTCAACCTCCCTTAGACTGGAATATAAAAGTTTCAGCTCATGTTTTCATTTTTTTTTTTCCCAATAAACACAAAGCTGGGATACAATTTCATGAAGAAACAACCATAAACAGTTGGAGTTAAAACTGACTAATTCCTCTAAACATATATTTTAAACTATAAATTCCTTGGGGGGGTAAACATATATAGAATAATGCTGTCAACATTATAGCATGCTGAAATGTTAAGCTAGCTACTGATATCAGGAACAATTGAAATGTTGGTGAGATGAATTTTATGTTCTGCTAGGAGTAGTATCAATTATCTAAAGAACAAATATTATAAAAAAAAGCCTATTATAAATATTTTAAAAAATGCTAAATATTTAGCATTAATAGGATTGTATGGTATCAGGGAAGGGAAGGAAGGAAGGAAGGAAGTCCACTGTTATGAACCATATGGCAATCCAGTGCCTTGGGCAGAATGTCCAAGATATTATTGTAATATAAAGTTTGCAGTGTGGTTATTTTTATTCGCTAACCTAGGTTTTGAAGATAAACGAAGCAGCATTTCTAGCTTTACCCTGGAGATCCAATTTTACTTAAGATGAATTAGCTCAGAGCAATAGTTCATTTAACTGACATAAAAAGCTGTCTCCTAAATTTAGGTCTGTTTAATTGAAAAGTAAGACAGGAAATCTGAGGCATACCCATTTTGAAGGAAGTAACCTGATACTGAACGACTATTCCTAAATTCTCTTTTTAATTGCTCTTGCCTGCTGGAGATAAAATGTGTAAACACCATTTCACAGCTTTAAAGTAAATGCTGAGCTGCCCATTAGAGAAATTTGCTTTATTGTTTTTATCTACAGAATTATAGATTGCTGGCAAATGATTTTCTGCCAGGCCATGAATTATGGCAGGGTGATGGATTCCACAAGAAATGAGCCTGAAAATAAGGGGGTGTATAAAATGATTCACTCTAAAGAAGAAGGAGAGGAAGAAGAAGAAGAAACAGCTATATCTGATGGCAAATGATGCAGCTTAAAGTATTTGATATCATTCTGAATTGCTCTTATGTATGTTAGAGGGATAAGCATGTTTAGTTTTGCTCTGTTATAACCTCAGATGATCTGCTTAACTTTGAATTCTAGAAGAAGGTGTGGTTTTGAAAGGACAGAAATAGATGTCGCACATGTAGCCTTGCAGTACTGATACTGAATGATAATACAGTGGGGAGTGTAACATTGATGGTTTGGCCAAAACATTCTTTCAAAGCTGCTTTGTGAAATAGAGTGCCCCTCCATGTTTTGGGACTGATGCAAAGCCAGGACAAACTTGTTTTTATGGAGAACTTCACTAAGGCAAAGTGAAGCTGCCTTCCATTGACCTATTGCTTAAGTACCTCTGAGCCCAAGTGATGTCTGGCTTTATACCAGCAGCAACTGTATAAATACTGTCAGAATTGTAGACCTCTGGCAGGCTAGGAATACAGGTTTGTGGCTGAACAAAATTCACTACTGTTCAAAAATCCCTGTTGTTTGCATAATCTGTCAGGACAGACATAACATTGCCACAATGTTTGCGTCAATGATATTTCAGGACATGAAATGATAATTTGGCAAAGATAGCCATTGTGTCACCGTTTATTATATCCCATCTTGCAAGTAGCCTGATTAGAATTTGCTGAGTAGCAGTAGAACTTACAGATTTAATATCTAGCACTCAAACCTTGGGATTTCGGTCCACGGTCTCCTCTGTGTGGTAGAGCATTACCACTTGCCCTAAATGGGTTAAATTCACATAGACTTCCAGACAAGGATAGCGAAAAATATCTTTATCACCAGAGCCTTCATTGAATGAGCAATGGACTTTTTCCTTGATGTTAGCTCTCACCAGGTTGCATTCGCTTTCTTCAGCCCAGACACTGCAGAGACAAATTTCTTAAGACATTATTTATAATTTGACCCTGGTAGTATATAAGTATCTGTTTCTGATATTGCCAGCACATCCTGTGTAAAAAATGGGGTGACACAGAACAGTATTAAAATTATGTTGTCCATGTGAATGAAGGCAAATATGGACTTTTGGCAAATGAATTCTATGGCAAAAATATGTAAATTGTTCATTATATTCAATTATTTTGAACATAAATTTTCCCGTCATCCTGTAGGTCTATAAAATGTAGACTTTTAAAATAATGTCTGTGTTTTCAGAAGTGTACTTGTGTTAGTCTGTTAGACTTAGAGAAAAGCAAATTTATACATGCATTTTTGTGGACTGTAATGAATTATAGTCTATGAAATTTATGCAATAAGTAATATGCTTTTTTTAAAGTAACACAGCCATCTTTATTTAGTATAATTCAGATAATTAAAAATTGAATAAACAGATATCTCAGAACAAATGCATTAGAGATGTTGATTATGGATTTATTAGAATTGGTTCAGGATTCCTTTCCACATTCACATCAGCTTGAAATAATACAAAACAGAATGTTGGTTCCTAATGTGATTTGATGATTCAAATGGAGATAGGGATACTCTCTATAGAAAAATCCTACCTGGGATCCCATGGTGCCCCAGGATAGAATCCATAGCAACTTTAGGATCTCTGACTGTTAAGATAAGAAGCAGATTTCATGCAATTGCAAGGTATCACCAAGGCTGTCGAAGGAATACCCCTTTGGTCTCATGAAATAGAGTGGCTATGAGTAAAAGCTGAAAAAAGCATAAGGCAAGAGAATATTAGCTGCTAGAGAGATGAAAAGAACAACCAGAAAGAAAAAAATAAAGCTTTTATGGTGACATGTGGGTGACCTTTACAGAATTCCAAATGTTCTTAGCAGCTTCCTCCTCCCCAAGATTGGGGTCCACTTTAGCCCTCCAAATGTGCCACTGAACTCAGAGTCCTTATTTATGCTGAGGTCAAAAATATATGGAGGAATGACTTTTTCTCCTGGAAAGGAGATAACATAGTGTGTGACATAGATCTTTTCAGAATTAGATGTTTGCTACCCCAGACTGCCTCAGAAGCAGTAGGAGTAGACAGCTGGACAAGGTTAAAGAATAGTGGAACTCAGTGGCAACCATGGGGGTTTGTTCAAATCTGCAAACTAGCAGGTATGGTGACAAGATCAAAGCCCTGCCTCTTTTGCAGTGAGGTTGCATGCATGCACAAAAGGGAGAAGGCTTCAGCTGCAACACTCTGCCCACCAGCATGCAGATTTTTATACCCTTCCTGTGGATGCCTGTGGTGGACATTATGGATGACTAAGAGCTCAATTTTTTTTGAGAAGGTGCATTTGAATACAATTAATTTAAAAAGAGATGATTGTTGTAGTTTGTGAATAGATTGTATAGGGCTTGTAGTATTCTTTATGAAGAATTGTAGAAGCAAAGGTTTTTCCAGAATTAAAAGGATTATTTGGCAATGCTGAAGGGATAACCTGGTTATTCTCGTGTGTATGTGTGTGTGTGTGAAAGAGAGAGAGAGAGAGACCTCCTGTATCTAATGTCCTTCATGTGCTTTGGATTACAGCTGCTGTCATTCTTGGCTGGTGTTATTATTTCCCATCCTGATCAGGTATAGTGGGAGTTGTAATCCCATGCATTGAAGATTACTTTGTTATGTTGGACTGATATGTTAGATAGAGGAAGACCAATCTTCTAATGTGAGCATTATTAAACTTGGGTTTGCTGCATTACAAACAGCATTTTCATGGAAATGCTCCTAAAAATATTTGGATTATCTAAAATGCTGACAGTGGGTCATGTTACCTTCACTGAGAAGAAGAATTTATGTAAATGTACAGATGAGTGTAACTTTGCTAATAAAAATCATGGATGACTTTGAATATTAGCTTGAAGATGGAGACCATTTGCTCTTGATTTTAATATTCTTTTACAATGCCCAAACAGTGCTTCTCCTCCCCACCCGCATGAAAATGCTTCCTCTTCACACCTCATCACTGTTTAATTTTGTTATACTGCTTTCTCTATTGGAGATCCAAATCCAATGATATTAACTCTACATGATCTCATGATCTACTGACCTCAAGGGGATAGTAGGGAGTGGATTTACTTTACTTTAATTTTTTAATAATAATAAATGAATTAAATTTAATTTAGTTAAGGATTTATTCTGCATCTTCTTTTTATTTACCACACTGCCTGCTTTTGTCTAAGAGATTGCTAATCTGAAGTCACTTCTTTTTTGCCTTTGTTCTCAGCACATATAAAGAGAGCCCATGCTTTAGCATTCTTCTCCTGAGAGGACTTAACTATCAAGGTGCTAGGCTTTGCCTATCCTTGTCATCTGTTTCCTGGAAATAAATACCATTCTCAGGTCAGATTCCTGCTGCCAGGAATGCCGTCTCTCTCTCTCTCACGCACACATGGATGCACACACTGTTTCCATCCACAACATTCCTTCCCTTCCTAGGTCAGGTGTCTTCCCCCATTCCATCTTCATCCTATTTTCTCCCTTTTTGCTCTTTCTTCTGAAATGGAGGGAAATACATGTGGGTATGGATTTCTGTGTCTGGTATATGCAGATAGAGATCAGTTGGTTTGGTAAAATGGAGTGCCTTATTTTACATGCAGTTAGTTTGATTAGTAGTTATTAATTTAATTAATATTAATTTCCTTTTTTGCCCTTACCCTGCCCGTGTGTGTGTATGTGTGTGTGCATTTGTATACACACATGCACCCACCTATACATATGTGTGTCACCCACAGAGGTTAAATAGGAAGAGGAGCTCCAGAATGGGTTTCTGTTGGGGTTGTCAGTTTCATGTTAACGGGCTAAGGAATATGGGCATTACCAGGATTTTGGGGCATGCTTGGATTTTCTTCAACCTATTCTTACAAGTGGAGCCTTGAGGAAAAAAAAAAAAGATGGAGAGATCCTGGCCCAATTATATTGTTGCCTCCAAGTACTACAAGTATTCAATTTTTAACCACATGAAAGAAAGATTAAAATATTTCTTGTGTTCTAGAAGCAAAAGCTTCTTCCATTTAAATAACACTGATTCCAGTTTAACCATTTATGTTTCAGCTTTCGTATATTAATGAACATTAATAAACATGTAAGATTCATTTGTATAATCCAGCTAGCCATTCACTGGAGGTGAAGATCTCTATTAGTATCCTTCCTTTCCCCAGCATTTTAAAGGGGCACATAATGCATGAAAACCTATTAATATAGTTTCCCCACCTCTGCAAAACTCTGAAAGAAAGAAATCATGCAAATAAGACATAATTTTTGTACATACAGATCCCACAGCACAGAAGAAAGACATTTTCCAGTTTTTCCATTAAGCAAATGTCTTCATAGTCTGGTATTGCTGGAGCTGGGAGTTGTAAGCTTCCAAATAGACTCACTTGCTGCTTGAAAACAGACTTTTCTGCATGGTTTAAGAAATAAAGTGTATAAAGTCTTTTACCTTCTTTTGTGTAAGGGCACCAGGACGATACCAATAAAGAGATACATCATTGCTGAGCAGGCCATCATTCCCAAGCCTAGGCACAGGGCTCTCGTCTCCCCTCGTTTTTGTGCTGCCACCAGCTTTTTCCCCAACATGACTTCCCGGAATGCTTCTGGGGTTCTTATCTCTGCCTAAAAATATAACCAAATCCATCAGGTGTGCTCTTATGATAGCTCCACCTAACAGTAAACTCATTCTCATCCCAGAGATTTCACATAACTTCTTTTAATGTTGTTCAGTACTTGCTTTCCAAAAATGAAAACTCAAAAGCAAGTCCAGTCTTGCAGGGCATGCAATAGTAATTAATTGCATTTACTCGCATCTTCAAGGGTAACATCAGAAATCAAACATCAGATGCTCTGACTGTCAAGTATTTATTTTTAGCAGGAACAGTTTAGTGTTTCCATTTGTAAATGCTGATGGTTATTGCATCCAAAAATCTAAATGGCATTACATTTCCTGCAATCACTGGTTCTCATCCCATGCACTGGCTGCTTTGTGTAGCTTGAAAATTATTACATGCTAGGATGTGTAAGTTCAACATTGCTCGGCTGAAAAGTTTGCTTCCTGACTAACTTTTTGTAGGTTTTAGGATTTGGCGAGGTAGAGATAATGCTCAAATACTAGACTAGTTTTCCAGATAGTGTGAGAATATCTGAATTAATAATATTCCTCCCAAGTAGAATGAAGGCACATTCTTTGGGGATGGAGTGGGGAGATGACTGTCCCAACTGACCAATAGAGAAATGAATGGCTCACCCAAAAATGAAGAGGGGAGGATATTTGGCCCATTTTCCCTGACAGCCATATTAAATGCAGAAAAAGTTGACAAGTTTGTAGTGTTCAGTTATGCTAGAGACTCAGTTAAGGATGAATGTAATTAAAATGCATAATTTTCTTATGCATTTACTTTTTTGCTAGCCAATACGTGACTATCCTCACAATTTTCTCTTGATACAAAATAGCTTTAGAGGAAGAGTTTTTGTCAGAGCTGTGACAGAGAGAATTAAGTCCTCCTTTCTCTACTGTCTGGTTTTCAGGAATATTGTTTATAAGTTGGAGTGAAGAGAGATTTATTTGAGAAAGGCAAATCAGTGATGTTGGGCTTGGTGGCAATGGAAAGGCCATGATTCATTTTATTTCACCCTCAGGCTCCCTTTTCAATTGAATTGCAGTTTTGCAGAATCCTCCAAAGTCATCCAAACAGCAAAACTATAACAATCCTGAGAGAGTATATTTGTAAAGTCTGTCAGCAGCCCCAGTGCCATAACTTTTGGACCTGCTGTGAACAGGGAACTAGACAAAATACATCTTGTATTGGAAGCCTTTGAATAACTTCTAGTTGAAGATGCTATGAACCTAAAATATGTCAGCTTCTATTCTGGGAACAGTGCTGTGTTGAAAATTTCTTCTATATTACTTCCCCATCCATTCTCTCTCAGCCTGCTGGATAATAAACGGCTTTCAAATTTTGATATGGTCCTCATGTGTTAAGTGCAGGGTTCTGGAGCTTTAGATTCCTGAGCTAAACTACTGAGGTATAGGTTAGATTAGAAAATATTGAGGTAAAACAGTGAATCTGTAAGATGTGATTTGGACCTACTTCTATGTGGAAGTGCATCAGCAAAACAAAGGTCAAGAAGATATAAATCTGTGGCTACCTTAGCCAAGACTGTGTCTCTTAGAAGTCTCTGAAATGGATAACTGCTGTATTCTTTTACCTGTATTTTATGCTGCTATGTTAGTGAAAGAAAGTTTTAAGCATTATGTTGACCCTGAATATGATGAGTACAGAATAGGGCTACTGTATCTTGTTTTCAAAAGTCCAAAAGACCACTGGGAGGCGCATATATATAATGAATATATACTCAGGGAAGCTGGATAGGAAGAAGATGAGCATGGTTTTAAAACTGGATGAGGAAAAGTCAATAACCTGTGCCAAGCTGATGGCGCTATCTGATAGCTGAAAATGCAAACAATATACAAGCTCTAGTAGTGAAAGTCAAGGAGCACAGTGAAAAAATGGGACTAAGGCTAAATATAACAAAGACCAAACTAATGACAACAGTTACAGCAACCAGCTTTAGAACTGGCAATCACGATATCAAAATGGTGGAGAGCTTCTGCCTTTTAGGATCAACCAACAATACTAAAGGAACCAGTAGTCAAGAAATATACCACAGGCTAGCACTTGGTAGAGCAACCATGAATGCCTGGGAAAGAATACTCAGATGCTGTGATTGTCAATACCTGTGAAGATCAGAATAGTGCAAGCAGTGGTTTTCCCTAAGATTCTATGGAAGTGGAAGTTGGACTTTGGAGCAGCAGGTCAGAAAGTGTATTAAAGTTTTTGAACATTTGTGTTGGAGAAGATTCATGAGAATACCATGGATAGATAAGAAAACAAACAAATGGATCATTGAATAAATCAACCCAGAGTTCTCACCCATGGCACAAAGATCAGGCTGAAAGGATCATGCTTTCAGATACATTATGCAAAGACCTAGATCTCTGGAGAAGGCTCTAATGCTGGGTGAGGTAGAAGAATTCAATTACAATGACAGTGGGTACATGATTGGAAGATCTAAAAGACTAGGTTGAGAAGAGATCCTTCTAGAGAAAATCAATGTGGTTGCTAAGAGTTGGCACTGACTTGATGGCAATCAATCAATCAATCAATCGATCAATCAATCAAATAAACTACAAATTATAAAGGAGCAGTCCACCATTTAGTATCTGTAATAACTCAGCTTAACTCCTGCTTTCTTATAATCAGGAATAAGGAATTTACTTAGGCTAGGAATTTTGTTTTTATGATGTATTTTAATCCTGAGGTATAGAATTCCCACCCTCTCATTAACCAAGTCCTTTATTTTGATGAAATAGGAGCCCTTTATGCTTCAGTTGCTAGTTCTGTTTGTTTTTTAAATCTTTTGAAGTTATCCTTCAAAAGCTGGTACCAGCTATATTTTGACAGAAAATAAAGCCAAGTGCAAATATTTTATTTCTTTATATATATTTGCATCAAAATTCAATATATGCTGTTGGGAAAGTGAATTTACTGCTGAGTTTACTACTTCATATTTTTGCATTAATATTCAGTATATGCTTTTCTGTATTCTTCTCTTTAAATATCCCACTTAAACTGTTAGCTGCACTGCACTGTCCCAAGAATAATTCAAGTAACATAGAACAGGAAGAACAGAAGATGAATCCCAGTGGATCAGTTCTGCATTCTTTTTGTCATGTAATTTATATATATAAAATAAAACATCACTGCCATAATTACCAGGCAGAAGGCTTTAATTCTAATGTTTAAACATGATTACTTTATTTTTTTTTTATTTAGAGAGTCCTACATCCTGGTTTGTAGTATTCCTGGTACATCAGTTTATCCCCTTCTTGGACTCAGTTTTTATCATGTTAAGTTTTTTCCCCCCTAGGCTTTGATCTTTTCTTTTCTTTTAAAAAAAATATATTTTCATCGATTTATATGTTGCTCTTCTGAAAATATTTTCAAAAAGTTCACAAGGAACTTGAACTTATTTATTAAATCCATTAATTCACCTTATCACAATGTTCAGCATGAGTAATAAAAAGGTACATTTTAAAAACAAATCGCCAAAAGAGCCCTCAACACAAACAGTGTAAAACAGCACCTCGTTCCATTAAATGCTACATCAAGCAAGAAAGAAACCATTGTCAAAGGCACTTAGGTATATTAAATCCACTTGTTCTCAGGATTACTGAGATGTCGATGGCAGGAAACGAAGTATAACTCTCCTCCACCTTATTTCAGTCCTGCCATCATGAAGTCTAGGTTCCTGTAACTTTATCTGCCCGTCCAACTGAATCTCAAATTGTCCTGAGATATGTATGGTTCCTCCACCACAGACAAGAAAATATTGTAAGTCCTTTTCCACAACAATTTTACAATAGTTATTAAACATGAAAATAGATAATTCATTCTTTAAAATGCACTTTCATAACAAATATGATTTTTAAGCAATAGATTAATCTATTTTTCTGCTGCTTCTTTATATGCTGTTATGCTCCATATGTTATGCTGCATAATTTAAGCAGTGGTGCTTATTTTCTATTCAGAGGAGATACCAGAGCCCAATTCTTTCTGGAAACCACCACTCTTTCCTTAATCTCTGAAATAGCAGTCTCTCTATGAACAATATTATATATTTCTACAAATATCAGTTCTCTATGTGCCAGTCTGTATATAGGCAAAAAAGGCAAGACAGAGGTTTGGGAACTGAAAAGTTTGGGAAAGTTTCAGGCTTGTACGTTTACAAAAATAGTGAAGAAAGAATGCAGAGAATTTGGCTAGGTTAGGGACGAAGTGGAGAATGAGTGAGAAGGAGCTGAGGTTAAATGGGTTATCTTTGGAGACATCACTGTTGAACAGGAATAATCTCTGTTATAACATTTGGTTGCAGGTCACATTTTTGTTTATCGGTAATTGATATATTTCAGTGATAAATACATTGTTGATAACAGAACTGCAGGGATGACCCTTGATATGAGACAGTGGAATAATATTTCAACCTAAATGTCGCAATCAAACAATAATCACCCTAATATACTAAAAAAAAAAAAAAGTGAAATGCAAATTAGATGTTGAACAAAATGTACTTTAAAGAAATTCATTTAATTTCTGATTATCTGAAACTAGAACATTCCCCACTCCCAAAAAATTGCTACTTGTTTGCTGCAAATGTCTACCTATCATAACTGGCACCCTAGACATTTCTGTACTTTCTACTGTGTAAACTTGCTACAGACATTCTCTATATTAATTTGCATTCTAAAATGTCATTAAACCACAATGAAAATGAGAACATCTCAAAACATTGAATCTTTTCCAGAAAACAGAAACGGACATTTCCTTTTCATTAAATCATTAAATGATATTTAATTATCACTAAACAAAACTACAGTGTTGCCATTGCATGTCCATAAAGTAATGCTCAGAGCCTTAACATTATAAACATGAAATTGTTCAGTTTTTTTAAAGAATTTTTGTATCAGCAAAAAAGGAAAATATCTGTGTTTTTGTTTGTTTGCTTACTTAAAAAAAAAGTTTAAATGTTTCTGAAAACTGTTGTGAATCAGGATAGGAAAATACAGTTCAAGAAATGTTAATGTATTCGGAAATACTGTACCACACGGGCTTGCTGAAAACAAAAACTTCAGAAGTTATACTTACAGCCTTTGAAATGTGGCGTAGAAGTTCATGAATTTTTTGAAAGATTCTGATCTGCAAAGATCTGCTCCATGCTGGCACAAATCTGTAGCTGTAAAACAACTATCTTACTCAGACCTTGCTCTTGCTGATTTTTGGAAATGGATGTTTAGCTAACTTTCTTAGTATGAGATTTCTACTACCATAAATGGTAAGGTATGGAAATGTGCAGGCTTTTCAAGATTAATTGCTGCAGTGCAGGGAGCTGATGTGTTATGAACAATTTCAAGCTGGCATTGTCTATTCCTTTGTACTGGAATTATACAGTGGAAATGGAAAGATCCCTGTTTTGTATGTCATATTGTAGCTAAATATAATCTCCATACACTGGTTGCTTTTTCCAAACATTAATTTTAAAGAGAATCTATTATTTTGTAAATATGTATCATTCATGCCTAGGCCTTTACTTTTCTACATCTCATTTTATATTATTAAGATAAGGTTTGTGTTTAATTGTTCTTTATCTGAGTAACAAAGTGTAGATACTCTTGGACCCTAAAACATGATAAACCCTTGGTGTTGTCTTGGTGATTATTATTTTTCCTGATGGCAACACATCCCTCAGCAAATGAAAAACCTAAGAACAAAAACATTAGAAAGATTTTGATGAGAATGGGCCAAAGATTTCCCCAAATTTAGTTTACTTGATCATTGCATCCTGACTGCCACCTTTTGGTCAGTTATGTGGAAGTTAAGTTATTACTAAATCTCTCTGATAATTACATGTAGAATATTTAAATACCTTTTTTTTAAAAAAAAAAGTGCGTTCATGTGATTGCAGATATGGATGCAAAAGGATTTAGAATGGTGGAAGAAAGAAGGACATGAATGGTCATGTTTTAATACCATGCTTTGCTAAAAGACAGCACATAAAATTTGAGAAGAAAGAGGATGTTTAGTACTGAAAGATTCCAGTGAAATATTGCAAGCAAGACCCCAATATTTAAAAATATGTTGCTCTTTAAAGCAGATATGTCTCTTTTTGGAATTGTACAGTGGTGTTCCACATGTTCTGCACGATCCCTGGAAAAGATGCTGCTGAATTAAAATTGTTTGCTGAATTAAGTCTGTGTCTGCACCCCCTGCACACAAAGCACCTTTTTGGAATCAAATCTGAAGCACTCAATTGGCCTACATTTTAATCCATTGATTAATATTGGCAGGTGATAATAAATTAAGTTTAAGAAATAAAATATTAGAAACCGTAACATTTTACCTGGAGCTTAACTCCAGCTAGCAACAACAACCTTTGTGGAGCCTACCCTGTCAGGCAGAGCAGTTGGCCCTACTTTTTCAGCATTCAGTTCCAGTTCACCTCAGGGGACCAGGAGCACCAGGCTAGAAACTGGGAGAGTGTGAGTTCTAGTCCTGCCTTAGGCACAAACATTGGCTGGATGACCTTGGGCCAGTCACTCACTCTCTCAGCCCAAGTCACCTGACAGGGTTGTTGTTGTGAGGAAAATAGGAAGAGGAAGGAGTATTAGGTATCTTTGCCACCTTGAGTTTATTTATAAAAATAATAAAGGTGGGATTAAAAAAAATCTAAAATCTAAATCAAATGAAAACACCATTTGAATAAGAGAGGAATGTTTTCCACAGGTATAATCCATCCTGCTACCATTTGAGCACATAGAGGTGCTAAAAATCACTGTGGAGTGAAAGATAGAGTGTTCATGATTCAGATGAAGAGAGATTCTCCTTGTCTTTCCCTTCCTCTAAATTGCAAGAATTGATCACCAATCCAGCACTTTGGGCTGAATAGCATTTCCTACTACTTAGTTATCCGGGCTACTTTTCAGACAAAGCAGACAAATCCCAGTACTCCTGAAGATTACTCTGTATTAGCTAAATGTTGAGATAGAGGAAAAAGAGGGAAGGTAAACAAGTTACTGTTTATTCAATCCTGTTTAGAGTTCCAGTTGAGCACCCAGAATCCTCAGCGAAGGCCACACTGGCTCAGGAGTCCCAGAAGTAGAAGTCTACACATCCACGCCGAGGGTAGTTTCTGTAAAAAGTCTGGAAGCCATGCATCGTTCTGCAGGCCTTCCTTCTGATTTGGAGTACAGGAAATACGCTGAAGATCTGGCTGCCGATTTCCAACCAATGTGTGAAATGGGGACTGTTTCTTCTTTCGTGCAGTTTTGCTGATGACTTTACCAAGAGAAAGTCAGAACAGCTCCTGGAACCTTGCCATGTTAGAGTCTTGCAACACAAAACAGAGAGCTTTGTGCCAATGAGAAGACTAACACACTGACATTGTGGAAGCTTTTGTGAATCCTAGTCTACTCATCAGAAGTCAGGAGTACTGCATCCAGTGTCTTTGCAGCTCCTTTGCCAATGGGGCGAATGACTTGATTAAATGAAGCATGTCAGGCAAAACAATTGTTATTAAAAAAAATCTTTTTACGTAGGTGCATTTTTTAAAAAAGCAATCAGAATGAAAGTGATGGTTAAAGTCTTTCTTAACAGCTAGTTTCAGTTGATTTTAAAAATGTGATTATTCTTAGGTAGCTTCCTTTACTATTTAGGATTCTGACTATTCAGTATATAAGACTTCCTTAATTAAGCATTTATTGTTGTATCAATGTATTTTTTTTAAGACTTACACAGCTATCCCTATTACAACAACCCTGGGTGCTGCACAAAACAGTAAAAACAATAGAAACCCCCAAACCATAAAATAAAAATCTATAAAACTATAAAAACCCAAGTCACCCCAAGGCAGCACTCTCCCATACATCCACACCCCATCTTGCTGGGCTCCAACCTCATGCTACCCCAATGCTTCTGGTGGGAGGCAGCTCTTCAAGATCTTACAGAAAGCAAGGAAGGTGGGGGCCTGATGGATCTCTAGGGGAAAGGTATTCCACAGGACAGGGCAGGGCAGTTACAGAGAAGGCACACTTCCTAGGTCCCACTAGATGACAGCATTTTAAATAAGGCACCTGGAGTGCACCCACCCTATTTGACCTGGTGGGATGGGCAGGTGCTCTCAGTCCTGCAAGGAGACTGATCCCATGCCATATAGGTTTTAAAGGTGATAACCAGCACCTTGAATTGCACCTGGAAAGAAACTGGAAGCCAGCGCAACTTAGACAGCAGTGGTGTAATATGAGCAAAATGTGGACTCATGTGCTGCCACATTCTGGACCAGTTGTAGTTTCCAAATGGTCTTCAAGGGCATCCCCATATAGAGTGCATTGCAGTAATCCAGCCAGGAAATTGTATGGCAGTAGCCTGAATTTTTGAAATCTCAAGTGTTCTCCTTGCTCACTAATTATATATGGTGGTCACTCCCCTTCCATGTCAATCCATACATTTGACAATAGTCTGTACTGTAGATTAATTTGCCTGTCTACCCAAGCATTGGCTTAGCTTCCCTTTTGAAATCCAAGGGAACAACTCCTAAATAGGGGTGGATAATTCCCAGCAAATAACTGTCTCATTCCTCCCCTCCCCTCCCCTCCCCTCCCCTCCCCTCCCCTCCCCTCATTAAAGCACTGATCCAGGCTACAACCTGCAATGGCAGATCTGAGGAGGAAAAGAAGGAAAACAATAATATAAATATTACTAATATTAGTTTTTTACTTCCAAATTACCTTCCCTCAAACTGGTTTTAATTTCATATGGAAAAATAAATGGCTGTGAATCCATATATTTCCTTCTCAGGGACTAATCCAGCTGGATTGAGGATGGGATTTATTATTCATTAAATATTCCAACTCTTTCTGTTGCAAAAATGTCAAACTGTGTAATTTTATCAAAAGGCTGCGACAAGAAGAAAATGTCCTCCACGCTTCTGGCTGTACACACTAACAACCACATTTTGACTGTATTTTACTGGGCAACTGTTTTAAATTCAGACAGTACATACTAAAGGAAAAAAAAAAAACCCTTGTGAGAGGAACTGCTGGTGTATCTAAACTGAGTAATCTAACTGCTGGGTAGATAATGTTTTTGGCTAACCTATGCAATGATAGATACCATATGCAACTAGCATATGCAGAAAAATGTTGGAATTTATTTGGAAAGGTGGATTAATATAATTTTTAGTTTAACAGGGGCTGAGGGGCGGAATCTCTCTTGCTGCTAAAGAGTCAGTGAACTATGAAATCAGAACATTTCTAAATGAGAATCTTCAGAAAGTGACTGTAGAGAATCCTTACTTTTTGCAGATAACTAATTGGGGAGAGTTAAAAAAAAAAAAGGCATAATCCCATATGATAAAATGGAGGCCACAATGTTAACGGGGTCACACATTTCACACAGAAAAATAAATCATGATTTAAGGCGCTGGATAGTACGTAGATAAAATAGTACATACTGTAGCTGAGTAGTAGCCTGCAGAATTGTGCTGGTTTACAACTTGGGGGTGTAGAAAATTGATTCTCCATAGTGTAATTCATGGTGGGTTCCAAAAAAGGAAAATTTTAAAAATCATATAATAATTAAGAATAAATATTTCAGCCTCTGTTAGGCAAGCAGGCTTGTCTCTACCTTTAAAAGTATCTGGAAGACTTTTCTTCAGAGAAACGTGAAATCTGTATGGAAATTTCATTTGGCTAGGAAGTCTGGACTTTTAATGTTGAAGATTAATATATATATATATATATATATATATATTTCCTGTAGTTCGACAGAATAGGAGTGGGAGAAGAAATGAAAGAAGAGGATCTGTCATGGGATCAGGGATGGTACAAATCTCAAGCAGGAGGCATACATATCAAGTGTTTTATTATAAAAATACATTGGTTTTTTGTTACAGAAGAAAGACTTGTCACTTTCAATTTTACAATATATTTCTCTCCTATGTCTATTATTTTGATGGGCTATTTTAGTCTTCTAATCTCGATGAGGTTCTCTTTATCTCTATTCTAACTTTTATCGTACCATTTTTCCTACAGCTTCCTAAATTCTTACTAGCTGATTTTTATTCTTTGTTTTCTATCTATAGCTCTATAATATTCTTATTTCACTTTTCTGTACTTAGTCTTGTGTGCTACCTCTATCTTAACTTAGTCCTCTTCCCAGTCTTGCACACTACCAACTACTCCTTTGACTGTATTTATTGCTGGGCTGGTTGTGCTATCAGCTGGCTCAGCTAGACT